CTTTTACATTTTGCTATTGCTACATGAGTGTGCTTTCAAATGAATAATTTATAATTTATATAAATTATTTCTTTTGCTTTGGTACGATTTCAACATGGGTGCCTTTTTTTTCATTTTTTTCACTGAATTTACTTGTATATAGTCCGGACTCCATTTCTATTGCAACTCGAATTCGGCAACTCATGTCGGGTATTGTAAATGATATTGGGGACTTTAACTGCTTAGCATGTGAGGTAGAGGAAATTCATATTGACATTTTTCAAAAAAACAAGAATATTTAAAGCAAAACGAACGCTCGAACAAATGAGGTTAGATTTGAATTTTTGAGAGGATTAGTTGAAATTGTTTCTTAGTATGAGGAAACAATCTTGTCCGATAAATTACTGCAAATCTTCTTGTAATAATTACTTTTCAAAGGTCGATAGGAAGCATTTAGAGGATGTCTAAAAATTTTGTACTCTCACATGTTTTTTCGCATAAATCACTATTGATTCAGCTATATCAGGTATTTTTCGATGGAATGATAAGTGACAACGTCAAGATTTTATTTCTACAGACAACCACTCAGAATTGAGATAGAAACTGAAGTAATTCAAAAACAAACATTACGAAGTATTATAGAGAAATGAAAAAAATGTTGAGTTTTTCTATCTTGACTAAACATAATTACTTTGAAGAGAGCTTTAATAGTTTGTCTATAGAAATAAAAAATTAATCTTGTCAACTAGGATACAAGGAAAGTGTCTTGACAAAGATCAATTTATAATGAAGTTATTCGAAAAAACATTTTTATATATGGACTTGTAGGATACGCTATATATTTGTCTCGTTATTATTCAAATGAAATGTTTATCAATTGTTACCAGGTTTTTTTCATCAAAAATCTGAAAATCATTAAAAATGTTTGCTTAACCGCAAAAAACGCGTCAAAATAGTGAAAGTTTCAATTTCTCTCAGCATTGTAACATCCAAAACATGTCAAAAAGATATTGACATTAAATTGTTCTAGCGCGTTTTTTGACGACTAATCAGACATTTTGAACAGTTCATAAAGTGACATGTTTCAACGCCGTTTTCGTCATTAACGTGTCTGTTTGAGTTGTCACGCACGAACATATTAAAATAGTTATTCAGAAAAGTAATTTTTGTCAAAAATCAGGCTAAATGAAAGGGAGCATGCCTTGGGTTTTGCTTCAAATGCCCAAATAGTCTATTTAATCGTACTAAGTATGGAAAGACGAGTTGAAAAGAACTTTTTTTTTAACATTTATTTGTTCACCTTTAGAACGAAATACAAACTGCATAGATTAGAGATGTGTATGCTATAAGAAAAAGTCACGATATTTACAATAATAAAAACTAATGTTAAACCAATGACTTTGCTAATATCATATGCTTCCTTTTAAACTATTAATGGATTAATGTTCCTTCATTTGATTTAATGAAGGGCTCTGTTTCTTCTTCTTTTTCTTACACTATTCTGATAGTTATATTCTAACACCCAAGAAGTAATTGTAAGAATGATGCGACATCGTTTTATACGTTTTTCTATTTTGTTAATACTTCTGATATTTGTATTTATGCATGATGTCGTTCATGCTTGATTGAAGATTTAATATTTTTTTGATAGATATATAAATTAATGATTATTTGATCTTTTTATTTTAAGAATTTATTTGTACCTTGTCGATTCGGATATATGGCAGAATCAACTGATACAGCTAGAAATCTATTCGATGAAATTGACACGAATCACGATGGAACGTAGGAACTAAGAATTTTTATCAAAATAATAAATTCATATATACATATTTAGTATTGATCCAGCCGAATTTCGCAGATGGCTGGGACATGCTGAAATACGACCTGTTTCATCATATGATGTAGCAACTAGTGGGCATTATTTAAATGATAATATTATTAGTGGGCATTATTTAAATGATAATATTATTAGTCGACAATATTATAATACACATGCGACTAATAGATATGATTTATTGGGAAGCGCGGGAGTAGTTACTAACTGGACTAGTGATACGGCGATTCATACAAGTACTGCAGAAGAAACGGAGGCATATCTGGAAAGAGCAGTTGATATTTATAGAGATCCTAATCCACAAATTATTCGACGAGCAGCAATTGAAGGTCCAGTAACATATGAACAACGAATTCATGTTCGATATCTTGAACCACCAGAAGTTCCACCACCAGGAGTAATGAAATAAACGTTTGCAAAATCAATCTTACTAGCGTTTCTATGATTTTAGCCGCTCATTATTAAAGAAGTCCGTCGTCCACAATCACCACCACCTCCAGCACTTGTCATACGTCAACATGCCGCAGCTCCTCCGACACCACCTCCACTTATCTTACGTGAACAACCACCAACACCACCACCTCATGTTCACAGTGAAACAAGTTAAAAAAAAGAAATTTAAATTACATAGATTCGATTGATCAATGTGTTTTTTTTTATAGTTACCCGTTATTTACCAGATTTACCTGTTCCAAAACGATCAGTTGTCATCGAACGTCTGCCACCTGCTCCAGAAAAACCACGTAAAAGAACTATCTTCAGCTTCCTTTTTTGTTTTTTTCTTGTTTCAGATTGTTTTTTTGCTATTTAGGCGATATTATAATCGAACGATGGATTCCCTATGGACAACCACCTCCACGTCGTACAATTGTTGAACCGGCTCCTCCTGCTAGAGAATATCCAGAACCACGTAATATGATTATTATTTATGAAAATATTGAAGCGCGTGTAGTCCGACAATTTCAAAATCTTGGCGTTGTCCGAGAAAATCCTAGTGATTATATAGCTCGTTATGGGGGAACACTTTTAGATTCAGCAACACTTGTTCAACAGGCTCGTAATGCGGGTGTTTATGAAGATATAGTAAGATTTTTAAAATAAAGTTTAAAAGAAATATGTAAATTTTTTATTGTAGTCGGCTCCGGGACACTCATCTACAACATATACAACTATACGCAGAACTATTATAGATGTGGATCGCCCAACTGATCGGCCTTCGTAGTCGTCCTATATTTCGTATATTTCCTGTATCTTTAGAAATAGTCCTATAATGTCCTTGTTTTTAGACATTTGTCCTATTTTGCCTATATGTCTTGAAATAATGTAGATTTCTTTAAAATAAAATATACTCCAATTAGATAAAACACACATGCTTGTGCACATATTGCTATTTTTCTTCCAGAATAAAAGAAATAGCATGTAGTGACAGTATAATATTGCTTGACTGAACTAGTAATTGAAACTTAAAGAGAAGTAAAGATGCATTTGAAAATAACAATAACAACACCAAGAACAAAAGACTACAATGGATTCAACGATCATTCTTGATTGACAAAGACTTTTTTCTTTGTCTTATGATTTATTTATATATTATATATTTGTTTCTGCCATTTTTATGTGTATTAAATGTCAATATTTAGAAAAAACAGATAATACAAGTGGTCGAAGGAATAAGCCCAACAGTTTTGAACCCGATGATGCTGAAAAAATGCTGAGATGCTCAGAATTTTAGAAAAACAGATGGAAATCGAGGTTATAGCTAGAGATGAGTTATGTTATTCAGTTCGACTTTTTCGATCGAGATAAAAACTTTATATAGAACTTACTCACTCATATGAGGATCGAGGAACATATATCTACAGATGTTTTTTCGAAACTCTTGAATTCGATTTTTGTGATCAGTATAAGCTAATTGCCGCGATTTAGCGAAGTTTTATTAAATTGCTCTATTGTTTTAAAATAGGGCTCCACTGATCGAAAAGAATTAAACTTGAGAATTTCGACAAATCAACTGCAGATTCGCGTTCATCAATACTTTTGACTTAATCAAAACACTATTATCAATCTTCAGTACTAAAAGATGTTGCTCTGATGTTTATGTGTTGGGATTCTAAACATCTATAAATGTTTTTATTATGTTTCGTTATTGATGAAACAAAGAGAGGTCATCATTTAATTTGAACTGATATTGTTGGATTGAACCTTGTTAAATTTTTTTCAACGGTATCATGTTAGGCAGAGCTCTTATAAAGATTTTTTCTGAAACCATCGAATAGTATAATCCAAGTTGGATTCCATGTTGGTGATGCTAGTTTTACTGGTACTGACACCAATCGTGATGAACATTGAAAACTTTAATTTTTACAACAGAACATACAAACTGTATAATAAAAGATAGAAAAACAAAAAGTAAAAAAAAAGACTGATCAAACACTACTGATACCACTATCAACTATATATAATAATTTTTTGGAAAAGATATTTGTTGATTTATTTCCATAGATGATCGATTAATGTTTTTGTTGAACATGAAGCACGCATACAACGACCACATGATCGACAAGCATGTTTTCAAGCAGTAATAAGTTTTGAACTAAAAGAATCATGACAAATTTGACAACATCCTACATCAATATCATTGATCCATATAGGAGGTCGAGTATTTAATTGTTATTAAAAAATTAGACCTAAGTTAAGACATGCTTATATACATATATACATGGATCGTTTTCAGCAAAACGAAAGATATCCTCTCCGAATACTTACGTCAAGAAGACGGAGAGTCCTTCTTTCATTCTTTCCATTATGGTATACTTTCTGCCAACGTTTTACAGCTTCGTGGTAACTTTCGATAAAAATTGGATTTTCAAACGCGATTCATCTTTCTCTGGCACAAAAGTGAAATAAAAATAAGGAGACAACACCATTTCGATGTAAACAGGATTAGTCCATTCGTCAGAGACGGGATGAGTCGCTGACCGGTCATCTGTTCTGAATGTGGGTATAGACCTTCTATTCGCCAACATTCACACCTACCCACACCCTACATGCATGCAATTACTGCTATTTAACGCCCTCTCTCTAATTTCTAAAGGCTCTATGTTTCGTAGTAATGCAATGGCGAAAAAGTGAATGTACCTTATTTCAATTTGCATTATGAAAATTATTTATTTATTTAAAATTAATATCGTTTTTATATATATTCTCGAGTCAGAAAGCAATTTGACAAGATGTCTAGAGAAAACTAGACAATCTAAATATGGCATCTGATTTTTGTTCTATTATATATTAAAAAATTAAGTGATTGAAATGCATTAAAGCTGTCATTTTTTGCGAAAAATTAAAAATTAATGTTTTGAAATTCAGTTTAATTTTTCAGTTTCAATACAATCAGGCTTGCATAGAAGATTAATTCAAAATCTAGAAAGATAGCTCTAATAGAACAATAAAGAATATTAATAAGTTCATTTCGCTTCTTATTTCCATGAGATGTTCTTCAAATAATAAATTGATAAATTGTAATTTCTGATTATAATAATAATCAATTTATTTTTTTTAATATGACATGGTAAGAGTCAACATATTAAAGTTACTATTGAACTTATTTTATTGATGAATGTTCAAATGGTTTATTTTGTTTTAAAACATATTTGTAGAATTTTCTATAGATATTTGTATGGAAATTTCAGATGAATATCCTTTCATTATATGAAATAAAACAGTACTGTTTATTTAAAAAAGAAAAGAAATGATTGTCAATAATGAATCAAATTTCACTAATCATAATGAAAACCTTGAATATAGACGAACAAATATTACACCAATTGATATATATGTCTATCATACATCAATAATACATTTAACAAATATTAATAATACTTCTAAATCTATGTAATATTAAATATACATTAAGTTTTATTTTTTATTTTTTGTATTATTGATTTGATTATTTTAGGAAAATAATTGTTCAAAATCTATTTGAAGATGCATTATATACCGTAAAATATCATCACATCAAACATCTAATGATGTATTCATATATAGAAAATAATTATCTGATAATAATATAATTCAACAATAAATATTCATCAAATAAATATTCTCTTTGTTTTAATAAAGAATTAATAAATAACTTTGATATTAATATTCTAAAATCAAGATCATAATAGACAAGAAAAGTTTCATTATCATCATTATCAAATAATTAAAGTATTAATAATCTAGATCATATGAATAAAGTATCAATAACACCAACTATCATTGAAACATATATCTTATTCATTTAATCATCTTTAAATAATAATTAGATTTCTCGAACTAATGTTTTTATAATTATCATCATCTCACATCAATTGGAATTTATTCTAATAAATTCCTATTCATTTCTTAGAAAAATAAATCAACAAATAAGATCATTTCAAATTGAATATATTCTATTATTTAAAATTCTTCAATGATAATACAAATACAACAAATAATGAAACCACAAATGTTATATTCAAATACTTATGGATTACCATTACAAGTAATAATATCACAACAATAATTATTATTTGCCATATAATGATAATAATCTTGAATCTTTATTAATTGATTTGAATTTTAAAAGTTAATTTTGTTAAAATATTAAAGATTTTTCTTTCTTTTATCATATCATTATGAATAACTTTATTCGTTGAAAATACACATTTAGTTTATGTTTGAATGTTCACAGTAAAGATATTTCAAAATAAAGATCAACTGATGAAATCGTTTTCTTCAAATTTTCTTTTTAGATATTTTTGAATTCTTTATTAAATGATCAATTTCACTTGATTAGTTTCAGTTTATGTATATATGAGTGATTGCGTTGTACATCGTATCGTTTGACCACTAACAAATGTTCTTATCTGTTTTTCAATTAGAGTTTAATCAAATAAAGTATCTATCTATTATGGTTTAGAAATGATACAGAAAATAAACCACTTTATTTTCTGTTTCCATATGTTTTCATAAACATCCTTCTTTTCGTTCTTTTTTTTTGTTTTCTTTTACTTTGAAACAAATGAGTAAATTATGTTTTATCAATCATTTTTGTTTCATAGAAAATTAAATTTCTATTGCTCGTTTCAGAAAGGATTCAAAAAATATTTCTCCTCTCTTTTTTTTGAGTTCAGTGTGAAGTCAATAAGACATTAGATCAAATCTTTTTTCATAAAGACATTCACCATATTTCAACACTATAAATTGCTAAAATTTGCAAGTTGTCAGAGTGTTTCATGATTGAAGAATGTAACCAATTGTTTTGCCCATTCTCTTTTGTCTATCCTCTAGACAAATTGCAGAGTGTAAGTCACTCCTTTTGACTAAAAGTATCAATTGGATAGGATAACTCAAATTATACATATCAAGACTCTGGGTTGTTCTTCAAGAATATAATCTGAAAAATACTTTAAAAAGTCTTCTTCTTTCATGTTTTATCCCCTTTTGATTATTCGCTATTCAAACTACAGAGTAAAGAACCCTTTTTTTTAAACGACAAATATCAAGTCAATAGCATAATTACAAGTGGGTGTGGGTGTAGTTCGAGAGTAAGCTCATACTCCACATCTACCCTTATTAAGATGTATCACAAGAGGACGAGGATCAGTATTGATTGAATTTTCTTCTGATTTTTAATCATGCCGTATACGAATTTTTCTCTTCTATTTCCGTCATTTGTTTGTAAAATGGTAATGATTATCGAAAAAGCTTTAATTGCTTATAAATGCCCTCTATTTCAAATAAGCAACATTTCATTCGATTTTTCTTAAGATGATTAATATTCTACATAGGTACGATCTATTACATCCGAAACCGGACCAAAGTTAATCAACATCCGACAGTTACATTCACAGTCATAGAACAGTTATTAAACTTTTGTTTTATATGAAACAGTAAATTTTTTAGTTTCTTCAATAAATATCAATAGAAACAAGAGATCATCTAAAATTCCACAAATAGATGAATGAATCAAGTTATTTTGGATTTACCTAGTATTTTTCTACTTCTAATATTCGATCAGTTTTGCTAGGCATAAGGTTGTTTGTTGCTGATAATATTGAAATGGAATCCAGTATTGGTGTCAAACATCATAGTTGTGGATACATGACATGATCTATCGACTGATGTTTTCTTCGAATAAATTCCAAATTATCTATTTCTTCCATAGAAAAATATCAAGTAAAAAACTAGACATATTTG